GCACAAAACAAAGAGCCAGAAACCGACCGTATGATGTGTACTTTCCTCACCCGTCCTGAAGTGTGACGCGGCGCCTCCCGCGCGCGCCCGTCACTGACCCGGCGCGCCTGCCTGCCTGCCGCAGTCTGGAGAAGGATGAAAGCAAGCGGCCCAAGTACAACACGCTGCTGCAGCACCCGTTCATCCGGCGTTCGGAGGCCGACTCGGTGGACGTGGCCGGCTACGTCAACATCTACCTGAACGCCGTGGCCGACAACCAGCCGCCGGAGGGGGCCGGCTGCTAGACGCCGGCGCGCGACGGCGTTGTGGACGGAGCGACGGCAGGCACCCGCGGCCGCGTCACGGTGCGGTCGTGACGCCGCGCGGGCCGCCAGCCTGCCGGGAGAGGGAGGGAGCGACGGACGGTGCGCCGCCGGCGGTGGCGACTCGACGGGACTCGCCGGAGTGCAACAGTGACGTCAGCAGCCTGGGAGGATGCCGCCGCTTCGGCGGCGGCCGGCGGACGCTCCTGTGGCCGCGCGCGAGCGTCGGGTGCGACGAAGGCCGCCGCGCGGACGCCGCCCGCGACGCTCGGCGGCTGCGAGCAGAGCCGCGGCCTGTGGCGGCGATGGCGTGACTTCCAGGACGTGGTCGGCGGCACGGCGGCGCGGGCGGGCCGCTGGCGTCGCCGTCGTCGCCATGGCAACGGCGACTGAACGGCGGCGCTCGCGGTGCGGACGGTGGCGCGGCGACGTCCGTCCTTGTCCGCGTGGCGCCCGTCGATGGTCGAAGTCCGGGCCAAGCGGTGTGCGTGGACGATGCGGTCCTGTGGCCGTCGCGCCCGGCCGCGCTGCATGACGTGAACTCTGCTGGAACTGCGCGATCGTGAGCGTGATTTAGATGGTGACCTGACCAGTTCCGTGACATATTTAAACTTATCCCGGGCGGTGGTGCAGACCGTGCGTTAGAGTGGACGGTGGCTACCTTCAGCGCGCGGATGTAGGGCAGTCGCCACTCCTAGCGGTCGGTGTTGCTCTTTGCTCGGCCGCCGTCCGGGCCGGCCGCCTCGCCCTGCGCCGTAGTCTGCCCGGCTCCGTCAGGGCGCGGCCACGTATCGGCTCACCACTGCACCGCTCCGCGCGCCCGGTGCGGCCCGAGCGCACCGGCGCCGGGGCATTTCCGGGCGAGCGGCGGCGGCTCCCCCGCGCCACGCCCTCCGACGTAGTGCGCCGCAGCCGGCCGTTCCGTAGTCGAGCCGCGCCGTAGTGGTCGTGCGTGGTGAACTGGAGTCGGCGCGCGCGCAGCCCCGGCAGGACGGCGTCACGCCGCCGCCGGGTGGCGCCGCACCGACGCGCGGTGCTCGGCGGTGGACGCGGAGGAGGGAGGGGGCTCGGCCGCTCGCGGGCGGAACCATTCCACGGGCATGTGCGGCCTCTGGCGGCGCGCCGGGCGCCGGGTGACTGTCGTTTCATGTCCTCGGCTGTACCGTACCGCACTGGATCTCGGTCGCGTCGTTGTCTGTGCTGTGGATGGGAGTGATGCCGCCGCGGTCGGGGAGGCGGGGACATGCCCGTGCAGCGCCGCGGGGAAGAGGCATGCCTCGTCAGATTGCTCAGCGGTGAAACGGGGCATTTTGTGAACTACAGAGGATGTTGGGGCGAGCCGTGCACATGGGAGGATCTGTTTTATCTCGTCTTTTGCGGTTAACAGCAGCGTGGTTTTCTTACAGCCAAGTCAAAGCCCGTTCTTGGCGAAGATTGTAGCGCACTTTCCAGAATGTTTTGTTTTTAGATGACGCGTTCCATCAGCTAAACGCGGCCCAAGCTCCGCTCGAGGCTGGGTGCCGGCCTATTATGGAGCGTGTTGGCGACCGGGCCCCCGCCGGAGGGCGCTCACGAGTGAGACTGCGCGGCGCGTCCCGCCTCCCTCGGCTCGCGTGGCGGCTGATCATACCGCATTGTTTCTGTTTTATCTCCGGTGAGGTGGCAATACGACTGCGTTAAGTCGACAGATGAATACACGCGAGATCACCGGATGAATTCTGAGGATGCCGGGACCCGGCGGGTTTGGGTTGGGCGTGTGGTGCCGTTCGCTGCTGGCATGGAAAAAAACATGGCCGGCCAGTCTGCTTCTCTGGCTGTCTCCATTATGTGGTTGTGAGCATCGGCGTTTGTGACGACTCAAGCGTGGTAGGAATGCCAAAGGGGAGGTTTAAGCAGCGCGTCAGTCGGTTCTAGGCGACTTCGTCCCACAGTTTCAGAGAGAGAGAGAGAGAGAGAGAGAGAAGACAAACAGGAAGTTGGCCGTGATCGCACGGCCAGCAAAGGTCTGACGACCATGCTTCGGAAGAGAGGAAATGGCGCGTCTACACGGCTGCTTTCCCCTCCCATATCCACAGGAGGGAACAGAAGCGGAAGCTGGGGATGTATCGCTGGAGGGGGTGGGGGGGGGGGGGAGACAGAGAATACTTCTCAGTTTGTCCCGGAATGGGTATTTGAACTCCGGACGCCACGCGCAGTTACACATCTTCCAACCGGTTGAAAATTCAGTTGACGGTTATTGTTCTGCAAATCCCAGCCCACCTCTGACTCGTGGCATGACAGGTACGCTCGTCAGCACGCAATAGTCTTGTTCAGCGACCCCCCCCCCCCCCCCAACAAAAAAAACGGACCAAGCGCCCCCTTCTTCGGCTTGTTTCCTTGGGCTCCGCTGCGTGGGGCTAAGCAACGTCGCTTGTAACTTTTTCGGACTTTTACATCATGCATATGGCTCAGCATCCATTTCATGTACAATCTACGTCCAGGGAGTTTTCAATGCCTCTTAAGAACGCAGAAAACATGGAATTTGAGTCTATGTAACAATTATTGGACCACCTGCGGCGATTAGGGATGTTGTGGCATCAATGCAAGTTCCTATGGCGATCCGGAGCGAACTGCGTGGGTCAGAAGGCCTCCCGCGTCATGGAGGGGAACAGTGTCATATGGTATATAATTCTAATGGCCTCCGGATCGACCAGGAGAACCCGCCCCGTGTCGCCAGAAGACATTTCGCGATGGGCCGGAATGGCCCTTCAGCCTTTGGCCGGAACCGGTAATGTGTCCCAGGTGTTCCGCCCCAGAGGCCCCTTGCCCGGAAGGAAATAAGGGGTCTCATTATTAAGTAGAGTGGGTCGAAATGAAATAAAACAACGAACAAGACCATCCCATTTTTGCCTGAGAACGCTCACTTTTGGTAGAACGGATTTCTAAAAAAAAATGTGCATCAAAAGATTTGAACATGCCCGCCCGCAACCCCGAGAGCAAGGACGATGGCCTGGGTTGCAGCTTCCTTAAGACCGTCCGGCGTCGACCACTGCAAGTGACAACAGACTCGCAGTGTTACGGGAGGACAGAGTAACACGGCGGGCGCCGTGTTGCTGTTTTCTGGACAGATTAATTGTCACAAAAACACGAAAAGTTAAGATTCTTCTGTTACTCTCTCAGTTCCACCACCACCAGCACCACTTCACGGTGCTTTAAGGGCCAATCCGTTCTCATCGTCAGGTTAAGAAGAGCACACATGAATTATGCCCCCAGACTGCCTTCTAAATGTACGATTTGATGCCCTGAGGCGTTGAAATGTACTTTTTCCGAAGTGGCATGATCTTCGTCCACCCGTTGACCAGGGCTCAATATTGACAACTGGGCGAACGCCGGGCGGTCTACGGGGACTGCAACGCCTGGCGTCGAGGTTTTAGTTACAAAGATTTACGAGCGCGCATGTTACATTACAACCACGTTACATAAGTTGTATCACTTATCGATTCTGGCTGAGTGTCAAATCTTTCCAGACAAACATGGCTTGGCCATGTTACTACACGTTGTTAACCACTCGATCTACAATCAAATTTTCGCCTTTAAATTTCGGTCAAACATATCCATCTACAACCTACCTTCGCGCTGTACTTAATGTCTGAAGAACCCAGATGAAAATTCTTGGAATTTCGCTTCCCCAGGAAAGACAATGTTGAAGTGGACGAATCGTCTTGGAAATTTGGATAGCCTTATTTGCGGAATAACAGGTGAGTCGAGTGGGCAAGATTGTGCAATAATGAGAAACAGCTCTGAATGCATATATAGCATAGCAGCCATGGCATTTCAGTAAATACCGGTAACAACCTCCGTCTTTACCCCCCTCCCCCCGGTCATAAGGCTTCTTTTCCAAAAACAAATTCTGAACTACGCCCTGAGCTTGGCCCCCACTTTTTGAAACGTTCCTTCTCCTGTGCTGCCAGGGGGGGGGGGGCGCAAGCGAGCAATGTGGGAGGTGGAAGGCCATTGATGTGTTGTTCGACCCGTCAGCACAATGCGGTCATCGCCGGCGCTAGGAGGAGCCAACGGGAGGCGTCCATGGGTCAATATGCCGACCAATCCAGGCCCTCACAACCGACCGGATCTACGACCTTGAGACTGGATCAGCCGCGTACATGGGCCAGGCCAGTGTGCTATTGCCCTGGGGCAGGCCATTGGTATATACGCGAATACTCCCGTAACTTCGCGTGACTGGCATAATTCACCGAGCCATGAGTCACATCTCTGTGTAGGCATAAAATCGGACGAGTATATGACGTCATTTTTACTCTTTACGCGGGCATTTGAAAATCCCCTGCACGTGGTGCAATATAATTAATCTATAAAAACTTTGAGAATCTAGCATGCCCCAATGTGGCATGCCATTAATTGAAATTCAGCAATATGCGCGCTTTGTTATTACTCGTTGCGTAAACGGAATATTTAACCAAAATTATGGTCGTTTACAAAATATAATGTATCCAGTTGCTTGATTTAAGTACAAATCAGCCTAATTTTATTGTGTGCGTTTAAATATCAGAGACGTTAACAAATCAGCGTGCATGGTTTGGGTGAGTTAACAATCTGATGACGTCAAATTTGCCGGATATGTGACTAATCGATGATACATTCCAGAGCCCGCAGCCTTGCAGCGCCGTTTTGCTTATAATCCAGTGCGTGCTATCTGTTCGCTGCTGTCGTTCGCTAGGGGTACTGGAGTGTAAGTTCAGGCGGGTGCTGCATGGAATATTGCCGAGTTACAGGCATTTTGTGGACCTGGGCGAAGTAACTACGGGCTGTGGAGTCCCAAGGCTTGCAGCCAACAGCTGAAGTTACTGATCGTTGAAGTAAACAGGAGGCGGCGAGCCGTCAAGAAGGCACAAAGAAGTTCCATTCCGTGTGGTGCCGCTGCTGCACAGCTGCGTTGGTGGGAATTTATTAACGTGGCCATGGAATTTCCTGATCTGGGAAAGCACTGCTCCCAAAGCTCGTGCAGGCAGATTGATTTTTTGCCTGTGAAATGTGATGCATGCCAGAACATTTTCTGCAAAGACCACTTCACTTATAGCCAGCACCAGTGCCCCTCTGCATACAAGAAAAATGTTCAGGTGCCTGTGTGCCCGCTGTGCAGTGCTCCTGTTCCAATTGCAAGAGGTGCTCTGCCTGATGCTGCTGTGAGCCTTCACATTGACAATGACTGTGCCAGTGATCCAGCTGTGAAGAAGAGGAAGATCTACACCAACAGATGCAGCAAAAAGGGCTGCAAAGTGAAGGAGCTGGTGAAGGTCACATGCGATAGCTGCATGTTGAACTTCTGCCTCAGCCACAGACATGCCCAGGATCATGATTGCAAGGGTGCAGGTGGACGCCCAACAGTCTCAAGGTCTGGCCTGGCTGCGATGCAGAGATTGCAAGGGGCGAAGCCAAGTGGCAGCAATGCTGCATCAAGACCAGTGCACCAATGGAGTCGAAATGCAGGCCGTCCTCCTGTCCACACTGCAGCTGCTCTTCAGGGAAATGTTTCTGAGGATGAAGCTTTGGCCAGGGCATTGCAGGCATCATTATCACAGTCCAATGTTATGTCTCAAGAGGATATAGACCGTCAGATTGCTGAAGCGCTGGCTGCATCTGATGATGCACAGCATCACACACCCAGAAATCAAAGGACTGCTGGCAGTTGTTCTCTTTCATAGCATCACATGTGTTGTGGATGACCATGTGTGGGTAGCAATGAAATGAGGATATTTTTATATTAGTTGCCATCCATTTATCTTGCTGATATGCTTCATTTATTTGTGGCCATTGTAACGTCATTACTCCCCCGTGGAGCCTACTACTGTTTCAGAAGTACCTATGAACTGGCATGCATAGCTGGGTTTAACTGTTTTGATCAGTAAGAAATTAAGGCTCAGGGCTTGTGCTTAAAATATGGTGGCACCCATGGTTGTTAAGGGTTATAGGTTTTAATATGCAGCCTGTTTTGAGAATCACTGATGACAAATATAATGATGATTGGACTTATGTGTTTCTGGTAAGCAGGAATGCCATGTGATTATCCATTGTACGCATTATGCATTGGCATGCGCTGAAGTTAGTTGTGTTTACATTTTGCTTGGCATTGTAATAGTTTGACCAATTCTTGATGCAAGAGATATACTGTCTTGATGCATCATGTTGGATCACTGGTGTGATTTCCACAGTTCTGGGGTTCCAGCAACATTTTTGGCTATCATGTGTAATTGCAGTCCCAGTGCTGGTAAATGGAGGATATTAAGGCTAAATGATAGTGTAAATACCATGTGCTAATGAGGAATTATTCTGACACATGATCTATTGCTGAAAAAGCTTTTTGGAACGCCAGCTGGATTTGTCCAGAGTTTAGTCCATGGCTAAACCCGTGATGCCACCCGTACCCTTCCGGGCGGTTTCCTATGTGGCGATATTAGCGCCGCCTTTACAAGTGTGGGTGATACCCCAGGCATTGTCACTCCGCTTGGAGCGCTGGCTGCGCCAACACTGACACCGAAATCACCGAACACAGCATGCTTCTAGGGGAATGGGGAGGGGTGCCCCTGGTTACTGGCAGACAGGGGAAAGGTATGTGGCAGTCACCTCGAACGTGTTAGAGACTGCGCAACTGCGCGAACCGGAAGTATTGATATTTCTAAATTTATTATCGAAATTTGGTGCGAGGAGCCTCATACCTGAGCTCGGTAGCATTGAGTCGAGCTCTGAAAACCCTTTTCTGCATCAGGAGTCCCGTGCTCTGGATGACGGGACCTTATGGAACACATGTTCGGGATCGGGATTTTGTGTTAGAGAGACCCCTAGGTGATTAATAAGGAAGCCCTGTTCCGGAACAGGGGACCGTTTTTTGCAACAAAACGTCTCTTCCGGCTCAGGGATAATGAGACACTTTGCTGGATCTGTAGGTTCTCTGTGTTAGTTGGAATAACTCTGTTTTGATTAAGAGGTCCGCTATGCGTTAGAAAGGCCCTTTTCTGGAATGGAAGGCACTGTTTTGGAATGGGAAGGTATGTGTATGGATGGAGAAGCCCATGGATTAACCTGATTATAAAGTCGACGTTTTGTCACTAGGATATTAAGGCACGTAGTAATTTGCTGACGGGGAAACGTGCCTCCGGTGTTTCTCTTGTATACGTCAATGCCCAGGAGCCCCTCCCCATGTAAGGAGCTCGTCTGGAAAATCCCGTCCCATGCCCGTCTCAAAATATGTAGCTCCCGTCATTTAATTTCATGCCCCCCCCCCCCCCCCACACACACTCGCTGAAAGGTTCTTAATGGCAACATGTCAGGAGGTTTTAGCGTATTGAAGAATACCTTACGTCCTAGGCCAATCCGCATCGCATCGGAGCGCACTGACAGTCGCGGGGTTCTCTTTTCGAAACAATTGCCATTGCGCCCCGATTCAGACAAAGCACAGGTAAAATAGGTATGAACTATACCAGGTATTAACTACGTATATTCAGTTAGCCGTGCACGCGTAGTCAAATTCAGACGACTCAGCCATCCCCCGCCTCCAGAGGACGGCGAAAAACTGCTGACTCATCTTGACGTCCGGTGGAAGCAGGATGTAGAGCAACTGTACAGCTGCCCGCGAGCGGAAGCGCTTCCCACCGACGTCATTCCTCAATGGGGTCCTGCAGCAGCCTCGTGACTCACTGGGGAGCGCTGTCCCGCTCACCCTGAAGCAGGCGATCACTGGCGCCGGCTCTCCGTGCCGATGGGCACCTTGTGTGCAGGACCCACCATGCTCAGGGCCAGTACTTGTTAGGACTGTGGCCAGTCCAGTGCGGCACATACGGTGTCCGATGATGACTCGCGCGCCAAAAATAAGAAACGCTGTTAACCTAAGGGGTCGTGCATAGCTTACGTTGCGCATGGAGGGAGGAGAGGGGCTTTGATGGAATGTAGCCGAAGAGTAACAAGGAGGAAAGGGATGGAAGGCGTAATGAAACGCTCAGGTGCAGTTACAAATCATGTTAAGTCTTCTTGAAGCGTTTTGAAACAAATACCGATAACGCTGGCTTGCTCTCATGACAAACAACACGCCCAACTTTGGTAATTATCAAGTAATGTATTGACATCCCCATCCAAGTTATGCCTTGACTTATTTCTATGCATTTGCAAACACCACTTGACCCGCAAGGTAACGAGAAGCAGATTTAAGGACAACTTCAGGAGCTGGCTTCGAACGTGCGGGGCGGGGGCATCACCTTCGTGTCGTTCGTATTCTGCACGTTATCGTGCCCCGTAAATATTTGCCATTGGCAAAAGCTCTGAACAAGGTCGGTCCCAGGCCTAAAACAGGCATCGGGCCAAAGCCTGAAAGACCCATGCTGTTGGCAAGCAGCCATGAGTCTGAGTTCGCAGCCATGAGTCTGAGTTCACAGCCATGAGTCTGGGTTCACAGCCATGAGTCTGGGTTCGCAGCCATGAGTCTGGGTTCGCAGCCATGAGTCTGGGTTCGCAGCCATGAGTCTGAGTTCACAGCCATGAGTCTGAGTTCACAGCCATGAGTCTGGGTTCATCCCGAGCTTACACGGGACGAACCCAGACTCACTACAAATCGTCCATCGAGGTTACACGGTATATGAACGCGGCGGTGCACAACGAGCCATTTGGTGTCGAGACGATAAATTCACAGCTTCCATAAGAGTACATTATGGTCAATTAAAGGTTCTGGAACGGTCAGAGAAGTCACATTCCATTCGTAAAAAAGGCAGTGGTCTCCAGGAAAAAGAGCGAATCGATGTCAACAGTCACGCACGTGCACTCGTACACAAATAATAGACTTGACATTTTGGAAGCGTTCTACAGGATTGATGTCAGATCTTGGCGACACAATCAGATAACGCCACGAGCACGATTGCCCCCCCCCCCGCAAGCGTACGTAACGTCCCCACATTACTTAGTCAGCCCACACAGTCCGACGGCGGCTGAACATACAGGTTATGAAGTCTGTCAGTCACAAGTCAGTCAGTTTGAAGTCAGTCACAAAGTCACCAATGTTTTGTTGCCGAAAACAACCCCGAATGCAGCACGCTGTCGCCGAACTGAGCAAGCGGGGGCGATGAAATTGGCACGCATATGAAGCTCAGTCACCCAGCCTACTTGCGCAGTTCGCAAGACCTTGACAGCGATCATTAAAAGCGTTCATAGCGCTGCAGAACTCCCCGTTTTCGTATGTGGAACATATGCCACGGTGCCATACAGTCCACGGTGCCATACAGTCCACGGTGCCATACAGTCCACGGTGCCATACAGTCCACGGTGCCATACAGTCCACGGTGCCGACTGCAAGTTGGTACAAAGTCGCAAGCTAACACCAGAGTGCCCATGAACTGCGGATATGTAGTGATGCCACTGCGGGTTTATGCGAAGCCGATGATTCTTTTCACACCACTACAATAGTGCTGGAATCCGTTCCAGTGTGCAACCTGTCACGTGCTTTCAAGCGTTGCAGTTGGATTGGCCAATGGCCTTGCTATATCGTCTTTATCACCTATCAGCGTGTCGCGTACTTACATACTAACACAGTAGACGAGACCGATCACCGGACAAGTCAAGATAGTCCATCCGCGATGTTGATATCTCTTCTCGATCCCTCCGTAAAGCAACACGGAAGCTGCATAAAGCTCACACAAAATGCTCCTAAAATTATCAACACCGTTGGAACTTGAGGTAGCGAAATACCTCAAAATCACTGAGGACACCTGCAAATAGATAAATATAGTATGATAACAAATATAACAACAAAAAATGCGCATCGCGCAACGCTGGCCTCCTAAAGAAGTTGCCTCCCGGGGTAAAAACACTGCTATATCTTTGGACGTGTACGTGTGACGTGACGTGTGACCGTAAGGACGTGTTTGGCGGCGATCACCAGCGCGGTCACCAGCGCGGTCACCGATGTGGTCACCAGCGCGGTCACCGGTGCGGTTACCAGCGCGGTCACCAGCGGCGACCAGTGACGCGGACGGAAGTCGTGCTGGAAAGGTGATACGAAATGGTCGTATCAGAATGCGTGACAGAGCTGTGGCTGAACGACTCATCCCAGCGCCTTGGCAAATCGTAGCATGGTGGGTACCGCCCGATACGAACGGTTGGATCGATCGGAGGGATCTGAAGACAGGATAGACTGTTGCGTGTTCCGACCGGGAAAGTCGCGCTGGGTTATGCAGGGATGATGATGGGGAGGATAGCATCACCAAAAGCAAGGAAGCAAGTCTTGAGCACTGAACGAACACGAATGCACGAATGCAGAGGCCGTCAGACCCACTTGCAGCAAAGTCGCGCGTGCTGAAGAGCGTGCCCCGCCGCATGTTTAAGCCAATGGACCGAACTTCAAAGTCGGAGGCTTCTGTGCGAGAACGTGTCAGCTGGTAGCGGAAGTCGGTCCCGTTCGCGCGCTACTCTGGAGCCCACAGAGACGGACAGGCCGTTAGGTCAGCTCAGCTTAGCTCGCCTTTAGAGATCACCGGTGACGTCATACGACCTGTCTTCTTACAATCTACCGGGGTGAAAACACTGCACCAAACTATGGTTGGGCTGCGCGGTCTCATTCCCTTCATGACGTCATACGACCCGTCTTTTCGCAACCTACCGGAGTGAGAACGTTGCGCCAAACTGTGATTGTGCTGCGCCACCACTCTCGGTTCGTGACGTCACCACAGGTATCATTTCACATGGCAGAATTCACAGTGTGATGTAAATTGAGCTGTTCGTGCATTTGACGCGCCCTTAAAACCCCATAACAACTAAGTTATGCTCTACACCTGATTCTCGCCCACACCTTCCCAATGCCCCACGACTTGCTTGCATCCGGCTTGCAATCTTGTTTGCAACGTAAGAATCAACAAGGCAAGATATGTGACCAGACATGAACAAAAACAAACGCTTGACACGTGGACGCAGGTAAATGTAGAGCAACGTGTATTTTTCGGAGTACCCGGTCACGTGACCACGGGCATCCCGTGACGGAGACAGGCAGCTG